CGAATATTTTTCGATTGATCGAATATATTCAAAAAAAAAATTCCGATTAAACGAGTACTCTGTATCGGCTATGTCGAATATTGAGACAGAAATTTGATCGAATTAGCATGATCAGGTACTCCATGTAGTAACTCCAAAAAAGAACATATTTTCTGCTGTAGCAATCAAAAATGTGACGCATACTACTTAAGTGATGGCAGATCCGGCTGCCTTCTCAAAGCATAGAGCGCGCTTGACATTGATAAGTAATTTGCTTTACAGTACTGGACAAAATTATAGGTCCATTCTAAAAAATGCCATAACTCACTCTGTTGTAAATAAAATGTTCCAAAATTTGGTACAGCAGTGTGTTCAGCAGCCCACTAACAGTCATCAAAACGGCTCTCGTTTTAGTTTAGTTATTCAAGAATAAAACAAAAACTTTGAAAAAAGCAGGCTTGAGGGCTGGTCGAAATTATAGGTCCACCTGAAGTTTTTACTAATTGAGCATCTTCCTAGCTTCCAAATTTTTTTTAGGTAGGTACACATTCAAAAGTGTTAAACAGGTGCTTTAGTCAAGCTATGTCATACCTCCAAAAGAACCGATTATCTGCCTTTTTTGCCTTGAAAATGCTTTCACATGTATTTCGTTCCAGGAACCTGCGTTGAGTAAGAAATTCTGCAGTTTCTCAGCTGGACTGAGAGCGACGAATTTCATCTACCTTCTAGATGCTTTTTGACATGAGCATTGAAGAAAAAGTCTGACTCTTTGCTGCTGAAGCAAATCCGACATTGACATACTGCAATCCTGAGCTCAAATTTCTGCCTTCAAACTTCTTTTACAATGTCCTCAAAGGCATTAGGTAAAGTAAAGGCATTGTTTATACAAGGAGGAGTCCGTATTCCATGGTTACAACTTTCTAGACATCCTAGCAGTAAATTTATGGAAATCACGCTGCAGAAAATGATTGCGATAAGCATCGTATCTAATTGTGGCTCTGACCAAATTTTCAGGAGAATGGAGAATCATGTGTTAATATATAATACAAGTTGCATCCACTATCTAGTTATACTGTCAAAAATCTAAAAGAAGTGGCGCACTTGGCAAGCCATTTTGGAAGTGAGTAACAGCATCATTACCCTGCACAACTCATGTTTCGAAAAAGAAGCAAAGGGCGGTTTTATGAACACTTGTAAGTATGGCGTACAGATTTATTCTTGTGTAAAGAATGCTTCTACTATATCTTGAGGTTATAATGGTAACGCATAAAGGGTCTTAGGGCAGAAACTAAGGCTTAGGCTCCCGATTAAGTCGATGTCGGATTTCCCTCAGTAGCAAAAAGTCAGATTTTTTCCTCAACTCACGTCAAAAGCATCCAGAATTGAAAGGAAACCCTGTTGCTTCCAATAAAAGCTAAGAACTGCAAAATTTTCAACTCAAAGCAGGTTTCTGTAGCGAAATACATGTGAAATCATTTTCAAGGCGAAAAAGCAGATAATCGGTTCTTTTGGAGTTACAACGCGGCTTGACTAAGGCAGCTGTTTAACACTTTTCAATGTGTACCTACTTAAAAAAATTTGGAAGCTAGGAAGTGCTTAGATCAGCAAAAATTCCAGGTGGACCTATAATTTTGACCAGCCTTCACCTGCTTTTTTCAAAAATTTTGATTTTTTCTTGAAGAACCGAACGAAAACGAGAGTCGTTTTGATGACTGTTAGTAGGCTGGTGAACACACGGCTGTACCAAATTTTGGAACATTTTATTGACAACAGAGTGAGTTATGGCATTTTTTAGAGTGGACCTATAATTTTGTGCAGTACTGTAGCTTATATATAGTGCAGGAACGCTTAGTTGTGGTTGCTAACTGCTTTGTATAGCAAGGGCCAAAGGAAATTTCACAAAATTTTCGGGAGTCTTGTACCTCGTTTCCAAAAATCCTAGAAACGGACTCCTGCCGGGCCCTGGTCTTGCCACATCTCGTCAGAAATCACAAGAGAGCACTTCAAAAAGGCTAGGCAATGAACCAAAAACAATGAATGTGAAAGAAATTTGTATAGGAGTCAATTTCACAATTTTGAAAAAACGTTTAAATGCTGAAAGCTGATTTGGGATAATCGTTGAAAAGCTTATGCAATGCACCATTTGATTAATATACACTCTTAACAGTCCAGTTAGCTTTTTGTGAAGATACGGAGAAGCTGAAGCCTTTACACCAGTAATGGTTCAGAAATTAGATCAGACTCAATGGAATCATTAGGTCTCCCATAACCCAAAAAAACCTTTTTATTCCTAACTGCCTGTAGGTATGTAGAGATAGTGAGCAAAAGTGTCGTTAATTATAATATTATTAACGACTCTCTTCGTTTATGTAAATGTATCCATTCTGTCATGGACAAGTTGTAGATTGTCCATGCACCTGTTTAGCCGCCGGGTCACCCTCATGGCCCTTGATAATGCACTCGGCGGCGCCTACTTTCAAGTAGGCGAAACTCTTCTGCATTGATAGCATTCCTTGCCAGAAGTTGGCATCCAGGCTATACACGCCCAATTTGGCTGTATAAAAGAGCCTGGATACCAAGCTCTGGAGTCGTCACTATCGCCGTTATCGCCTAGTCGCTGTTCGTCTATTCACCAATAAATAGTTGTGCCACCCAATTGGTCTTACCAAATTGGTGCATCGGCCAACGGATCGTCTCTTCGGTGCTGCTCACCGAAATTCGATAAAAGTCCCGCGTGGCAGGCTACTAACAGCCGATTATTCGACTCTCGTGATTGCTGGTTCATCCACTTTCGCGACCAAGAGTCTTACTAAGCTGTCAGGTCCTATCCACAGCTTAGTAGAGGTTTCTAGCTAACTGACTGGTTCATCCACAGTTAGCAACAGACTCCTCGCACTCTAGGCTACTAATTAGCCAATATTCGACTCTAGTAATTGTTGGTTTATCCACTTTTACTAATACGAGTCTTGCTAAGCTATCCCATAGCTTAGCAGAGGTTTTCTAACTAGCTGACTGGTTCATCCACAGTTAGTAAAAGAACTCCTCGAACTTTTTTTTGGCTTCCAACAGCCAAAAAAGACTCTGTGATTGCTGGTCCATCCACTTTCACATACAAGAGTCAACTCACTAAGCTATCAGGTCCTATCCATAGCTTAGAGAGGTGTTCTAACTAGCTGACTGGTTCATCCACAGTTAGTAAAAGAACTCCTCGAACTTTTTTTGGCTTTCAACAGCCAAAAAAGACTCTGTGATTGCTGGTCCATCCACTTCCACATAAAGAGTCAACTCGCTAAGCTATCAGGTCCTATCCATAGCTTAGCAGAGGGTTCTAACTAGCTGACTGGTTCATCCACAGTTAGTAAAAGAACTCCTCGAATTTTTTTTGGCTTCCTATAGCCAAAAAAGACTCTGTGATTGCTGATTCATCCACTTTCACGTACAAGAGTCACCTTACTAAGCTGTTAGGTCCAATCCACAGCTTAGTAAAGAGGTCTAACTAGCTGCTCGGTCAATCCACAGTTAGCAGACGACCCTCTTAAGCTCCTTGACGGTTGATCAATCAAAGCAAGAGCTTGCTGCTAGCTATCAGGTCAATCTATAGCTTAGCAAAAACAAACTCCTATCAGCCTTCTGTACGCATCAAGTCCATGCGCACCAGACAAACAATGGCTGAGCTAGCTGGATTCAAAACACGCATCACAGTGGCTTGCTCTTCAGTTGGCAGCCTCCAGAGCAAAATCAGGGAAATAGATCAAGCCTTCAACTTCCCAACAACGGCAACGGAATGCAACGCCTTCATTGTGGATAAAATGGCAGAAATTGAGGAGGCAGAAATTTCTCTCAAAGGCTTTTTGGAATACCTGGAAGCACAGATCCAGAATGCTATGAACTTTCTCGGATCAAGAAAAGACCAATCAGAAAGAGAAAGGCTTATGACTGATCTTGATGTATTTCTTTCTACTGAAGCAAACACAGTGCAGATGGAAGCTATTAACTGGTCAAATAGGCTAAAATACCGGATGAGGGAATTGGAAAAACAGTCGAGCCTAATTCATGCAATAGCATCGTCCTCGATGCGAACATCAGTGCAGGACACCGACACGGATAGTTGTCTATCAACGAGACAACACAATGAGAACAAAGTCCGATTACCAGTGCTTGAAGTTCCAGCGTTTAATGGAAACTACAAAGACTATCCAACATTTTGGACAATTTTCGACTCGCTCATCCATAGCAACTCACAGCTCAGCAACACGGATAAGTTCCTATTTCTGAGGCAAGCACTGAAAGGATCAGCTGCTTCCATGTTTGGCAATATCCCTGTGATAGGGAAAAATTACGACAAAGCTGTGAAACTTCTCGACAAAAGATACAACAAATCTGGATGTATAGCCGATATTCTCATCACAGAGCTCGAAAAACTTCCGCAAGCAAGAGAAGACGCGAGTAGCTGCCGAAGAATGTTAACCGACATAACGGAAAAACTCACTCACATCGAGTGTGCAGGAGTTACTCTGGACAACGGACGAATGTGGAGACGCTTGATACTCTCGAAATTTCCGACATCACTGAGCGAAAAGGTGTTTAGTAAGGAACAAGATGAAGACAAGTCGTTCTCCACTGAGAAAATACTAGAGATCTTGGAAAACGCGGTGGCTCTAAAGGAAACAATCGCCCTAACAACGGACACATTCCATGAGCGGGTGACCTTCAGCCAAAGCAACCGTTCAAATCCCATTAAGGATATGCAGATTCGACCTCAGCGATTTGAGCAATCGAGTAGAACACATGGAAGACATGGAACACAAGCTCGTTGCCTATGTGGAAGTCCGACTCACACTGTCTCACAATGTCCGACTCTAAGGACTCCAGAGGTACGACGAAGCGAAGCATCTAAGCGAAAAGTGTGCTGGAAGTGTTTCGACCAAAGCCATCGCTCAAGCGAATGTACGAAATTGGGACCTTGTCCTAAATGCAGCAAGGATTACCACTCAGCTCTGTGTAATGTTGATCGATTAACCATGAATCCAACCTCATCGATGACACAGTCAAGGTTTAGCAACATTAAGCGACCATCTGGTGGGAGAACGAAGACAGCACAAAATGCCGAAGTCATTTCACCCAACTTGGAGGTTAAAAATGAGTCAGATGGATTACAATATGTGCTCATGACAGCTACAGCTCTGGCCTTCAACTTCGATACGATGGATTACGAATCTGTTACCATTTTCTTCGACAGAGGCGCTCAAAAAAGCTTCATCACTACCGAAAAAAGCTTGAATCTTAAGCTTCCACTGATTAAGACAGCCAGCTTTACCGTAAGCGGCTTTGGAGGAAAAGCTGAGACATTTAACTCTGACGAAGTATCAATTACGCTCAGAAATGTCATAGACGGACGGGCAATAAAGGACATTTCAATACACACGAAGACTCCTTTAACTTCAGCTATAAGTACAGCGAAGCTGAGCGCCGACGATAGAAGTTTTATTCGAAAGGAACAGATCGAAGTAGCACAGCCCACACTTGAAGACAAGGTCATCACTCCCGACATTCTCGTAGGCCAAGATCTAATCGACGACTTTATACTCAGAGATCGTCGTTGCGTGACTCTGCCATCAGGCTTGATACTCACACCGACAGTATTCGGTTATGCAATCTCAGGAAAGAGTTCAATCCAGGGCAAAGCTCCGACAAATACGAATACAATACTCGTTGCGACTCCTATAGTCAACACTGCAAAGGAGGAATACAAGCAGGACATTAAGAACTTGTATGAACTGGAATCCCTCGGTATCAAAGTGGACAAGGACAGTGACGAAGAAGCAGTTCTGCAGTTTATGAACAACTACAGAAGCACAATTTTAACTGTAAATGGCAGAATCACAGCTGGATTCCCATTTCTGGACAACGTCACTCAGTTGAAGAGCAACTTTAACGTGGCAGTCAAACGCCTTCAAGCCCTAATTCGGATACTTCAAAACGACTCGGAAAAAATGAACCTGTACAACGAAGCACTACAAGATTACCGGCATCAAGGAATCATCGAAGAAGTTCACGAGCAGAGTACAGCTGGCGTAACCACATTTTATTTGCCTCACCGTCATGTTTGGACGCCGGGGAAATCCACGCAACTCCGCGTCGTCTTCGACGCGTCCTCACATGCCAAAGGAGAACTAAGCTTGAATGATGTCATACATCAAGGGTACTCGCTGACTTCCTGCATCTTCGACATCCTACTGAAGTTCCGAACTTACGATTACACAATGGTTGCGGATATCCAGAAAGCGTTCCTGCAGATTCAGTTACCTATTGAACACAGAGACGCGACAAGATTCTTGTGGATAAAGGACACATCTAAGCCTCCCATTGGTAGTAATATCAGATACTACAGATTCTGCCGAGTACCGTTCGGAATCAATGCTGGACCGGCAATACTGAATCAAGCGCTGCTCAAACATCTTGAGTCATTCACCAACAACACATTTCGAGAGATATCGGATATGCTGTATGTCGACAACGTTATACTTGAAGGAAAGAACAATGAAGAACTCCTCAAGAAGTATCATGAATCTAAGGAAGTGTTCAACAAAGTCGGAATGAACCTTCGAGACTACCTCTCCAACAGTGCACAAGTCAATTACAAGATCCCAGCGCATGATCGTGCTACTTCAAATGACATAAAAGTTTTGGGTTTGCACTGGTACAGCAACGACGACCAAATAGGTCTGATATGCACTACAAAATCGTTTACAAAAACGACCAAACGATATGTCCTCAGCCAAATCAATGGACTCTGCTTCGATCCCTTAGGACTGCTGACACCTTTGCTTACCACGGCAAAAACGTTTCTTCAAGACTTACACAAGAAGAAACTGGCTTGGGACGATCCATTGTCAAAGGAAGACAGCGATACCTGGGATGCAATCAAGAAAAACATGGTCCACTTCTCCATCCAACTACCTCGACGAGTAACACAGCAAGAAGGATGCACATCCCGTACGCTTTCAATGTTCGTCGATAGCTCAAAAAGAGTCTATGCTTGTGTTGCTTACATCACAACGGACACACAAGCTGGAGAGCGCTATACAAGACTATATTGCGCAAAGTCAAAAGTGGCCCCCATTGGAACAACTCAAACGATACCAAAGCTCGAACTGCTAGCCATATTTATCGGAATGAATTTGCTGGAATACATTGTAACCAAGAGCGGACTGAAATTTGACAAAATCAATTTGTTCAGCGACTCTACCATAGCGCTCGCCTGGATCCATTCCAAAAAACGACTTTCTTTTCTTGTTGCCAACTTGACACAGAAGATACAGCTGACTAGAGAACGCCTTGAACAATACCGGCATGTCCAAATTTACCATGTCCCCACAGAAGAGAATGTTGCTGATCATGCAACTCGCGGGATTTCACACGCAGAAGCTAGCAATCATGTATGGTTCAAAGGACCTCGATGGCTCAATGAGCAGGAGCAACATTGGCCTGTTCGTCAAATAGAACAGCCAAGTCAAGCAGAAGAAGAAGACTCTCTAGCAATAATGGCCACTATGGTAACACCTCTCACCCTGACAAGGCAACCAAGAATCTGGCCTACTGAAGCAGTCAGTGGCTATGACAAGCTCAAAAGGATTGTTGCTTATTCCTTACGATTTGTACGCAAAATCAGCAAAGGCAAACTCTATCAACTTGACGAGCACTGCGAAACGTTCAGCGGCATTCCGAATGCCCAAGAGTTGATAATCGCAGAACGCCACCTACTTCGAGAGGAGCAACAGCAGTCCGATCTGCAATCCTTCATAAACAGCTGCAAAAACAAGACCATCAAGGAAGACCTGCATGGGATTACTAGGAAATTTGGCCGCTTGCAAAACTCGGATTTGAACTACGACACTATCAATCCAATTTACCTTCCTCGCAAAGGACTACTGAACGCTAGAATTGCGGCGCAGCTACATAAAGACTTGTTTCACTGCGGCGTCAACCAGCTAGTCAACGCTCTCCGCAAGAAATTCTGGATCCCAGCAGACAAGACTCTCTGCAAAAAGATTGTCCGGAACTGCGTCATCTGTCAACGCTATAACGCGGTCCCTTACAAATACCCACACATGGGACCACTACCGTCCGAAAGGGTTACACGGTCGCCGCCTTTCAGCTTCACTGGAGTGGATTTCATGGGACCAATCACCATCAAAGACGCAAGTGATGAGGACGGAAAACGATATGTCGCCCTATTTACCTGCTTGGTGACGCGAATGATACACCTAGAAGTAGCGAAAGACTTGTCAGCAAGAAATTTCCTCTTAGTTTTCAAGCGCTTCACAGCTAGAAGAGGTGTTCCGCTGAGGATAATAAGCGACAACGGCACCAACTTTCGCTTAACGGAAACCATCCTTCGGCGCGATGATCCGCCCTCATGCTCGCCAGTATCACTCTTTCTTGCTAAACACAACATTCAGTGGAACTTCATTCCACCAGCTTCTTCATGGATGGGAGGAGCATGGGAAAGAATGGTTGGGACTGTCAAAAGGGCCTTGCTCAAAACGATAGGAAGACGGAAGATCTCAGAAGAAATTTTTTCCACAGTCCTCTGCGAGATTGAAGCTGCAGTAAATTCACGACCATTAACGACAATCGGAGAAGCTGCTGACATCGATGAAGTACTTCGCCCAATCGACTTTGTGTACAAGAACATTCGACATGGCATAGAAGTCATACGACAAGAGGAACAACATCAGGAAGACCCTCCATACCAACCTACGCCAGAAATTTCAACACAACTGGACGCAAAGAAGGCCATTTCTGATGCAGAGAAACTTACCAACAAGTTCTGAGACAAATGGAAAACAGAGTATCTCTTGGAACTGCGCGAACGTCACGTACTTTATGGAAGCAATTACAAGTCATCGAAAAATAACCCGTGCGTTGGCGACATCGTGCTTATCGATGATGATCTGAAGACATCCAGAGACCACTGGCCAATGGGTGTGATCGAGGACTTAGTCAAAAGCAAGGATAGAGAAGTACGAAGCGCCGTACTTAAAACCGGAACTGGAAGATCGTACAGCGTCCTATCAATCGCCTCATTCCACTGGAAATTCGTGCCACAATGGATCCGAACACAACGACAAGCACTTTACACGACAATGAGGAACCTCAGAGCAGCATACAAGCTCTACCGCAACGCAAACCTCTGGAAAGGAAGGCTAAGAAACCCATCAATTACAACGAAAATGTGGTATTGCCGAAACGTCGTCCATGGAATGCACTCAGCATTTTATTAGCCCTAACAGCATGCACATTGGTACATTCTGCACAGGGAGAAGTACTGAACTGCACAAATATGGAGTCATACTCAACTTATCATCGATTCCGGACCTAAACAGCAGGAGTGAAGTATGCGTCAATCGCATTCATTGCCGGAGCATACACACGGATCAGCAGCCCATACAAAGATATTTACCGCCACATCAGCTAACTAACCCATATTCCGTTAAATGGCGAGCTATCATGAACACCACACTATACGAAGAGGAAGTGATGTGCCCAGAGCAATCAGTGTGCAATTCCATACATTGCACCTTCTGTCCCCTTCTACTTGGCAACCCACGCTGTTTTCCGAAAACAACCATCGCAGTTATAGCTACGGTTATTTACATCATTACACTACTCACCACCATCTCCACATATCTGGTGGCACGTGTAGCAGTCATGCTCAAACAAAAATGCCGTTTGCTCAAAGACTCGAAGCATAGAACGATGGATTCTACGACAACAGAGCAAGCCGAAAATGTCGAATTGCGTCCGAATATCGAAACGCAAGCACGTCAAAGGAAAACTTCCGGAGGTCATTCGACGCGATCCAAGCTCATCTTCTCGCTTTCACTACTGGCAGTAACAAGCTGCTGTCAGCATACTCATGTTCTCAACACCAAAGATCTGATCTGCACTGACTTTCTTGGAGATTCGAGATGTAAGAGTATTGAGGAGCATACCTTCGCAATGAGCAGCTTCAAACGCGAAGTCTGCATGAAGATAATGTACAAAGGAGAACTGATCGCGACATTACACATACAACTCGACAGCATTAGATTTGAGTGCATACCTGTCACTCACTTCTTCACCAGGAACGCTGAGCTGACAACGGTTTCTTCCAAACGATGCGCTCAAGCCGGCAGTTGTACGCAACAAAGATGTCGCACAATCGCACAAAACTCGTTCGTTCCGGAATTAAATGGCTCATACCACCTTCCTGGAGTGACACGATGCCAAGAATCGTGTGGAGGAATTGGTTGTGGGTGCCTCTTACCAATGCCAGGTTGTCTTTTTTCCCGCACTTACTCAAAACCGAAGGACGACCTCATCTACAAAGTCTTTTCCTGTCCTGTGTGGAATGAAAAATACAATAACACGAATACGAGCTCGATTAACCTTCGTTACGGGCAAGGAAGTGGTGACAAACATGGACATATTACCGCAAGAAACAGTGAGCATGGACAAGATGAACTTCACCCTCGACTTCATTACGGCTCCCACAATATCCATCTTGGATAGGAAATTCGTCCAAGTATACAACCGTACCAACCCGGAGACCATGATATCCCCGTCCGACGACACGTTCGCAGTCAAGTGTATCACATCAGAGATCGCACAAAATTTAACAAAATGCCGTGTCGTGGATACGTGCAAGTGCACCTCAAGATCCACAGCCGCTGTATGCTATTGTGCCAATGTCAACATCACAGAAAGGATGGACTCCCTGGATACTAGGCTACCCATGCATAACTCAGAGTTTTCTCTGGAAGCCGACGAGAACTCAGTAACAGTTGTGAGCACACCTCTGTCGCAGAAGTTTCCTTATCAACTGAAGCCAGATGGAAAACTGCTACGGTTATCATACCCACCAAATGCGAGATCCACGCCTCCGAAGCGAAAGGCTGCTACAACTGTCTCCAAGGAGCAAAGCTGGTCTTCACATGCACTTCCAAAATCAGGACAATCGCGGAAGTTGAATGCACTGATCATCACTACACGATAGATTGCGGACCAAAAGCAACTAATACCACCGTACTGATCAGTTCCAATACCGCCAACTATGCTGCACAATGTAGCACCCAGTGCGGATCACAAAAACATGATTTGCACATCATCGGATCGCTTTATTACCACTCCATATGGAAAGACGATTTGGAACATGCTAACATCGAAAAAGCCAATTACGTGGACTTAATCAACATTCCTGACCTTAGCAACATAGCTCAGGTTATGTCTCACTGGTGGACCACTTCGCTTACAGCAGCAGCTGTAGTAGCATTGTCAATAGCTGCCACACTGATCTGTGGACCTGCTCTGTTTCGCAAATGTATGCCCTTCTAGGACATAACATTATGCAGCACACTCACATGTACATATCTGCACTCTCGCTAGTCCCCCCCAGGCGTCACTGCTTGGCAGTCCCCCTAATTACAGGCGGTGATGCACAAAGCAATTATTCTGTCCCGCGACATTTTGCCAGAAAGAATGTCGAACCACTCCAAAGACCTCGCCGGCAAATTTACGATGCCTAGGTCGAACCACATCTTCGTATAAAAAGGCATCACTTCCATGCACACCCAACTTCTACTGCTCACAACAACTATGGCTACTCCAATCCACGTTTCTGATGAAGAGGACCTTTTGGACTTATCAATTGGCATGGAAATGGATCAGCTTGCTGCTCACAAAACGACTTCCCCAAGCTCGAGGCCGATCATCGTGAAGAAGCCACGACCGTCCAAAAACGCAAGACGTCTGGCATCCACCCCGAAGAAGAGAAGAGCTAAAACCACATCCCCGAATCCTACCATGAACCAGGAAGAGAATGGAGAGCCCCAGGTAAAAATTACCAAGCTCGAAACTGTTCTCATTCCAGATAGAAGTGCGGCGATCGTCCCAAAACCCAAGATGACACTGCGTCCCTTAGTGCTATCACAAGAGCATCGGGGCTACGTCTCTAACAAAGATGTGATGGACATGTTCCATGTCATACAAGACAATCAGAAGAGCAATGAGCACCGCCTAAACAGGATCGAGGACAAGCTCCGCGTTTTGACCCAGCAGATGGACGGAATGGCTAATAAAATCGAGATCGTCGAGGAGAAGCAGCGTCCAATTCCAATGATACCAGCACCCCCCAATGGATGTCCTCCCGTGGAAACCCCACGCTATTGTGATGTTTGCTATGTCGCGGGGCATCCTGCGTCACGATGCCGTGCCAAGAAACATATGCCACCCGATCATGTACGCAAGGTGTACAAGAAAAAGGGCATCTGCAAAAGATGCCACTTCATTCATGCCAATCCTGCACAGTAGATCGGTTTTGCATTCCATACCTTGTATTTTTTGGTTGTTGCATTAATGTATTAACATTCTGAGACAATTTTTTTTGTGGTACCCTTTTTTGTTCTCATCCATCACCCATTATCGTAATGAAAAAAAAATTTTTTTCGTGTGCTATTTCATACCTTATTTCCATATTTTGTCAGCTTAATAAAATTTTGTTCGCTAGTTTCATTGTTGACACATTTCATACACTTCCTATTCTACAGTAGAATTATATAACGTGCATCATGCACTCCTTCCGCCCCGCCCCCAGTGTCGTTAATTATAATATTATTAACGACTCTCTTCGTTTATGTAAATGTATCCATTCTGTCATGGACAAGTTGTAGATTGTCCATGCACCTGTTTAGCCGCCGGGTCACCCTCATGGCCCTTGATAATGCACTCGGCGGCGCCTACTTTCAAGTAGGCGAAACTCTTCTGCATTGATAGCATTCCTTGCCAGAAGTTGGCATCCAGGCTATACACGCCCAATTTGGCTGTATAAAAGAGCCTGGATACCAAGCTCTGGAGTCGTCACTATCGCCGTTATCGCCTAGTCGCTGTTCGTCTATTCACCAATAAATAGTTGTGCCACCCAATTGGTCTTACCAAAAAAAGGTTCCCTCCATCTTCTTCCATCACACTTCCTCGCTCTTCATACACATTACCATACTTTTGATGTTAAGCTTAAGAAGACATATCGTAGAGTATTTAACTTAATAGAGTAGTGCACACTGTACACGCTAACTGACGAACTGTGAAACTAAAGCCTGCTTATTCCCAGTGATTTCTCCCCGTTTCCTTGTTTCTTTTGTTTTAGTCGATTATATGTTGGTCAGTAGAACACAATTCTACACTTTGTTAGGCTAGAAAATGTTTTACCGGGAACTTACTAGTATGAATGTCGTCGCTAATAGGGCTTAGTGTGCAATCTCACATATTAAGTTACAAAGGTCGAGGTTATAAAAGTGCTCTAGAGTAATTTTTGATATAAAAAAATCCAAGCTGTGATGGAACAGCGCCCTTGTGCAATGCCTAAACTGTTTTTGAACCACTCTCGTGCAAAAACTCCATAAATAAGGACACATTTTTTGGTCAGCATTTTTCTCTTCAGACAGTCTAAGTCTCTGTTTGAATGTGACTGCCCTGCCATTCAGTTTCAAGCGATGAAGTTACTCAATTTTCTGTCTGCAGTCCCGGAAAGATGAGTCTAGCTGTGCTCAATATTAGACGCATGAAATTTCGTTGGTCCTGTTTTGCATAATTCGCATAAGAGTTGAGCGTTTGTGGCCCGTTGCTGAGTGAACGAAAAGTCTAAACTTCTTCTTAATCATTCTCATCTTAACTTTAAATATGAATGATCACTGTCATTCTCTACGCAGAAGCTAAGCACATCCATTTGAATCTCTCAGTTTGTCTTCTTCGTCTTCGCAGTGAGCAGAATGTGATGCATACTATGATACATGAATACACTCACTCATGTAAAGGACTGTACGCGCTTTGAAGAGTGTAACCGGCGAAATTATAAAAACTCCATAAATTTTTGTGTGCCGGACCATGTGCACATAACTCATTGGCATTCAGTCGTCCGATGCCAGAGTTTATCGCTTCTAAGATGGCTGATGTAGTATATCACAGGACTGCCTCTTAGAGATTTTGCGCAGAATCCATCCTGGTGAGTGCAAGTAATGGTGAATGTTCAGCAATGTGGTTCCTGCATCGCTCAGGAGGCAAGCGAAGCACAAATACTGGCATGCATTCAACATGAATCAACAACGATTGCATGGTTGCAGTGTGGTTTACATCCTGTAATCTTGTGCAGGTTCCAAACACGTGAGAATAACAGCAGTTTCCTGATCGACTGGATACGAGTAACAATTGAAGACGAATTCTGACCTAAAGAGGGAGCGCTGTGCCCCCCCCCCCCCCCCCTCCCCCCCCCCCGCCTTCCCTTGCATTGCTCATTTTAGCAGAACTCTAGAGGATATTAACGGTCATACAAAGTACCCTCGAGTCATTTGTGACTGAGTGTGTGAGACACACACTGCACACTAAGCCCCACTAACGACGGCACCCGTACTAGTAACTTTCCAGTAAAACATTTTCTAGCCTAACAAAGTGTAGAAATGTGTTCTACTGACTGACATATAACCAACAAAAAGAAAAGAAACAAGGAAACAAGGAGCAATCACTGGAAATGAGCAGGTTCTAGTTCTTTCGTCAGTTAGCATGTATAGTGTGCACAACGCATATTAACAAATGACTCAACGATAAATACAATTCAATGGTAATGCCACTCCAGCAGTTTAGCAAATGTATAATTTTGCATTTACAATCAGTGTCAAAATTTATTGTACTTATTGACTCTAATATTTTCAAAGTGCATTCCACCTAAGTGCAGTGAATAAAATAAGATGAAATAAAACTTTAGGGGATTTCAAGGATGCTGGTGCAAGTTGGTGAACTCTCAATGAAAGCTACTAGCATTTGCATAAATTTCACAAAGTTTTCAATTGATTAGCTCTCATCTTATCAACCAAACAAAAAATTGTTCTTGCTGTACTCTATGTAGGTGTACTATAAATGCAATCAGTTACTCATTGCTTTACAAAGATAGGCAATGGCATTGAATCACTTGTATGAGCGAACAGTGGCACGCAAATTTGTTATACCACTTTGCACAAAACACAAATGACACTGACTGGATCAGCTCTTAGTTCATGCCCTCCAAGCAACATCGACAACCCGTTCGTTTGAATGTTATCACACGAGAGGATGACGGATACGTAGGAACACATAATAATATTAATTACATTCAGTAGAAAGAGGACAGGGTAGTAGTGGTCCAGAAAGTGTTGTTTTTGGGAAAGGACGAAAGAGATTTTTTCGATTGAAATGTGTCGTCCATGCCTAAAAACTTCGAAAAAATCTTCGAAATAGGGTTCGACTGCAGCCGCTAGTCAAGAATTTCTATGAAATCCTGATTTCTAACATATGAGAAAATTTTTCATTTTTTCGCAGATGCTTGTTCTGCAACACTGTAAAGCCCTTATAAAGAAATACCCTGCTTTTAATCCGGCAGTGGGTAATGGGTGCAATCAGATGTTTACAGATTTATCCGATTAACCGCTTAGCCGCTTCATGATTTATCAGATCAGTGAACTAAACAATTTTGAAGCGGCTAAGCGCTTAACCGAGTAAATCTGCGCCAGTCTTACAAGGACAGGAAGCTTAAGTCGAAGTGGCCCTTCAAAACAACATATATGCTATCTTGGAGGGCATAGAATGCCGATCCCAATTCGTCCTCTTTATGTGCAGAGCAATTCTAAACGAGGAGTTATGAGCGTTTAATGGAGTAAAAAATGAATGAGCAAGTAAGATAAAAATTGACGTAATAGTCTTTTTAGTTGTTCAATAAAACAGTAATAATCGAAGCACTTTATGCGAAGTACACTCAGATAAAATAAACTCACACTTGGCGGCTTAACATAAGGGATGGGAAATTCAACAGCTTTTTTATTTGGTGCGCATTGAATGGCTCCAATTAACGCTCATAATTCCTCGTCCATAAACGGATTTGGATTAGCGTTCTATGCTTTCCAAAACGCTGTGCATATCGTCCAAGAAGGCCATCTCAATCGAACGTCCTGCCCAGGGCCCAGCATAGGTCGTCTGGAAGCAGGCTGGACTTCGTTTTTGAAGCAAAAAGCAAAGGAGATGTCGTTTTTGACGAGTCGGGGCCCAGCACCAAGAATAAGCACCATTTAGTCGAATACAAGCTTTTCGGACAGGTTATCACACGATTGACATGCTCTATCGCGTAAAAGTGCGCGCGATTAGAAAGCAAGGCTAAAATAAACAAATTGCTTGTTCACAGCGCACACAGAAGCATATGACACCAAAATTGAACAGTATGCTTAGAAAATTATTTGCAGAAGATCTATGTAAAAAGGTTTGAAAGCTTATGTGAAGTAATACGTTTTCCAGAATTAGATCGTCTCCAGACGGCCACCAGCATATACTTCTGTCACTTCACATAAGTTCTGGATTTTTCTATCATGGACAGATTCCCCGGTCAAAAATCTATCCTTGAGCATGAAGACATTTTCATATCATTGCCTTTCCTTTGTTTTTTGCCTTCTTTTCTTCATAAATCGCTTTGTAAAATATCGCGCTCCAATGCCAAACTCTTGTGCATGCGTGGTATTCACTCCAATCTGGATTTTCAGTCTTATTTTACGTTTTTTTCTTTCAGACTAGTAAGCAAATAGGTCAAAGGGGACTTCGTAAAATTTCCGAAAGTCAGGGGAGACTTCGTTTTCAGAAACCCTAGAAACCGACTCGTGCCAGGCCCTGGTCCTGCCCTTATTTGATCAAAATGCACACATTACCATCAAAATGCACACATTACCCGGTGGTCACACGTTTGGAAAGAACTGCTTTATAGGCAGTGGCTCGGGAAGTTGGCAACTGCGCGCTTTCTGTTCCTCTTTGTTCTTCTGGTTGCGTTTAAACCAGAACTGTGCTTGAAAAGTCAAAAAAGTGCATTTTCCCGCATTTGAGATTGCTGAGGAGGCTGGAACGGAAATTTCCGCGCCGGGTCGCGATCGGCTGCCTGGGCCAATCAGCCAATTGCTGCCAAAATGAGTGGTCTTACAGTCTCCTGCGGCCAGTCACTGTTTTTGGAGGGATCTCCGCTCCACCTTCCCCAGCAATCTCCAAGGCCGGAAAACGCCTAAAAAGGCACTTTTTTGACATTTCAAACAGAGCTCTGGTCTAAACGCATCCGGAAGGCCAAGGAGGCACATAAGGCTGCTGCAATTTTCCCGAGCCACTGCCTTTAAAGCGTCAAACCAATCCCAGCTGGAAAACCGACAGCTACGTAAAATTTAGTAGCGTGTGTTTATGAGGTTTTTGCCGTTCGATGCTGGGCAGAAACTCAAGCCTGTTTTGTACTTTGCCTTCATTAGCACTAATGCACGAGTTCAAAAATGGAACCAAGTTTTTATTACCGGAAATTTCCAAATTTGCAATAAAAGAAGTGAACGATCAGATTTATTTGAAGTTCTTTGGACAATGCTTCAGTGTACGTGTCAAAAGGGGATGACACATCAGAGAAAACAAGAACTTGATCGAGAAAGCATGAGTACATCATTATTTGAATGAAAATGGATGCGAAGATTCGAAAACATTTTCACAGAAGTTGGGTGTCCATGGAAATGCTATACCTTCCCATATGCACGAATTCAAAGCAATCAAAGCACTTTCAATACAAATCATATAGTACACTAATTTCAAGGTACAAGAGGAAACTTTTCCGATTTTTTAAGCTAGCCGCACAACCGCATCATTGTGTTTTGAAAAGCAATCACGCCGCATGATTTTTCTAAGCAATAGAGATAGGGTTGCTTAGTGACGAAGTCTTTTGACGTTTTTTGGCTGGTCGACTATGGAAAAAAATCCCTTAGAAAAAATCCCTTGTACGCGTGAAATTAGGGTAGCATAAGCACAGCTGCATGGAATTCACTAAAGAACAAGAAACGAGGTAGTTACTCAAAAGTTCTGCGCGCTAACATTTTCCATCGGATGTGGTCGTGGTGCATTCAGTTGATGTAGTTACTGTTGGTTCGCCAGTGCTAACGTGTGTTTCGGCGCCCTGCGTTGATCCAGTTACTGTTGGTTCGCCAGTGCTAACGTGTGTTTCGGCGGCCGGCGTTGATCCAGTTACTGTTGGTTCGCCAGTGCTAACGTGTGTTTCGGCCCCCTGCGTTGATCCAGTTACTGTTGGTTCGCCAGTGCTAACGTGTGTTTCGGCGCCCTGCGTTGATCCAGTTACTGTTGGTTCGCCAGTGCTAACGTGTGTTTCGGCGCCCTGCGTTGATCCAGTTACTGTTGGTTCGCCAGTGCTAATGTGTGTTTCGGCGCCCTGCGTTGATCCAGTTACTGTTGGTTCGCCAGTGCTAACGTGTGTTTCGGCGCCCTGCGTTGATCCAGTTACTGTTGGTTCGCCAGTGCTAACGTGTGTTTCGGCGCCCTGCGTTGATCCAGTTACTGTTGGTTCGCCAGTGCTAACGTGTGTTTCGGCGCCCTGCGTTGATCCAGTTACTGTTGTTTCGCCAGTGCTAACGTGTGTTTCGGCGCCCTGCGTTGATCCAGTTACTGTTGGTTCGCCAGTGCTAACGTGTGTTTCGGCGGCCGGCGTTGATCCAGATACTGTTGGTTCGCCAGTGCTAAGGTGTGTTTCGGCGCCCTGCGTTGATCCAGTTACTGTTGGTTCGAGGGTGCTAACGTGTGTTTCGGCGCCCTGCGTTGATCCAGTTACTGTTGGTTCGCCAGTGCTAACGTGTGTTTCGGCGCCCTGCGTTGATCCAGTTACTGCTGGTTCGAGGGTGCTAACGTGTGTTTCGGCGCCCTGCGTTGATCCAGTTACTGTTGGTTCGCCAGTGCTAACGTGTGTTTCGGCGCCCTGCGTTGATCCAGTTACTGCTGGTTCGCCAGTGCTAACGTGTGTTTCGGCCCCCTGCGTTGATCCAGTTACTGTTGGTTCGCCAGTGCTAACGTGTGTTTCGGCGCCCTGCGTTGATCCAGTTACAGTTGGTTCGCCAGTGTTAACGTGTGTTTCGGCGCCCTGCGTTGATCCAGTTACTGTTGGTTCGCCAGTGCTAACGTGTGTTTCGGCGCCCTGCGTTGATCCAGTTACTGTTGGTTCGCCAGTGCTAACGTGTGTTTCGGCGCCCTGCGTTGATCCAGTTACTGTTGGTTCGCCAGTGCTAACGTGTGTTTCGGCGCCCTGCGTTGATCCAGTT